TAAACGAGAGTATCGCGGAAAACATCAATTCGACATGGTTCTCAACAACTTCAAATTTCACGAAGCACTACGCAGCGAATTTTGCCTAAAGACCTACTTCATGCGTACAAGATTCAGTTAATTCAGGAGCTCAAACTAGCAGACCACGGAATTCGTTCAATGGGTAATGGAGCAAAGTGAAGTCGATGATAGTTTTTCGAAAAGTCATTTTCACCGATAAAGCTCATTTCCATGGCCACCAAGACCGTGCGATTTTTTTCTATGGGGTTTGTGGGTTTATGCAAATAAACCCGAAACAGTTCCTGAGCTCAAATCGGAAATCCAACGCGTCATTGGTGAGGTAGAGCCACATATCTGTGCAAGTCTACTACATACTTAATTGGAACATGTCTTCTTTACAATACAATAAATATACACAACTCTGTCATAAAATACTTGTTTTTATTTTAAAATGAAAAAGTGCACTCTTACTGAGACACCCATTACCAAGCACTTATTAAATATTATTCCAAAGTAACAATTGAGGAAAAGATGCCTAAATAAATAGTTTTCATTTGGAAGTACTAAATACAAAACAGGTTTAATATTTGTGTTAAGAGTTTTACTGACTTTTGTTTTGTTCTCAATTATTATGAATTGATTTATATGGGCCTAGCGTTTATTGTGTTTGATATTATATTTTATTATGAAATTGAGCAAGAATTGATTAGGTTAAGAAAATATATATTTAAAAAGGTAAAACTATTATTTTTTCCAACAGTGGTACAAATAGAATGAATTAACTTAATTATCAACATTGTTACTCGCTCTTTTTGGTACAAACTAAATTTCAAGTTGGCTAATTTCACTTCAAATATCCAAAGACAGTGGTATTTTATATCTGTTCCTAATAATTGATATTATTGTAAATTGGTATGTAGTTAGCATTAGAAACAAACATCTCCATTTAAAATAATTATAATAAAAAATTTAGATACATTTATACAATAATATAACAATCCAGAGTTCTAGGGACACGTCAGTCTTACCACAGCAAAACAAATAAATATATTGTATTTGATATCTATTCACAAGGAACTTCAAATATACATCTTCAAACAACCTTCAAGCCTGAACTCCGGATTATAACTGTCATTATCCTCTATTATACACTACTGTACACGTCTTTACAATTTTGTCTTAATTCGCTGTAACTAAGGCAATGCTTCAACTTTTATTCTAAAAGGCCACATGCATAACGGTCTTTGCAAGATTTAACCAGATTTGATTACACCGACTCATAGCAAACATTTTTAAATTTTGAGCATTTATTATAAATAAGCATGATGAAATAATTTATAAGCTTGCTTGGAGGCGCCAAAAGAAGTCCTCAAAATGTTGAACATTTTTGGAAATTCAATAATTAAGAACATCGGTGAAATCATAATATTACATAAATAGATTGTATTATTTTGAAGCACCACCAAATTAAACTCAATAAATTTTATATTTGTTTAATATAATTTAAAGGGAAAACAGAGCATTGCAAATGCCATAGCATTTAATTTAGTACAGGAGCTCTGCTCACAAATTAAGTTCAATTATAAATAAAAGTAACTTAATTACTTAACCCTGTACAATATACTTAATTTGTGACTAAAACAAATATTTTTTGCAGAATAAATTACATTTCCTTGGAAAAATTTCAAATCACATTGTTCATATAGAGATACATAATAATATGACAAATGGATAAAATATTTACAATCATTTCATGTGAATCAAATAATAACTAAAATTAAATGCCAACAGCTTTCTTGCAGTTATGACAGTTTTCATAAAATAATTCAACTTTATAATATGAGAACTGCCCAAACTACGAAAATTAAGATCACAGACACTTATAGCTAAATTGTTGTGATGTTATCACTAAACTATAATAAGTCAAAAATGGGAGTGTATATATTTTCTTTCCATTTCTCTCTCAATAGCTGGCCTAGCAAAATAATTTTTAAACAAAATATAAAGCTATATACAAAAAGTAACATTATATTAGTAACTGGGAGATAGAAGACTAAAATTTTAAACTATCACTTTTCGAAACTAGACTATTCAGGTGTTTCCGCCCGTGACTTGGTAGTCTTGTGGTAGATTCTCGTCAATAATGGATTCGGTTTACTCAAGTAAAACCCTGGGAGGGAGGTGATTAAAAAGTGTAAATTACTAGGCCAAATATATTTCACATGATAAAAATTTAAATATATAATGTATAAGCTACTATGGAACTCGTATTTAACTTTGAAAATATTGTTTCCTTTAAACAAATAAAAAATTGCAGTCTTTTAAATATAAAACAGCAGAATTTGATGACAATTCTTTATTATTCTCCTGGGTATTGTATGCGTCACTCCTTTATGCTTATAATTAGCTATTGGAAGATACTCAAGTCATATTTCAAAATTAATAACTAATATTTACATATATTACAAATCCTTCTATAGGTAACAAGCGCGACGCTCAGTGCTTTGGTTTTCGCTCTGCATTTAATAAAAGACGACGTATTCACGCCTGTATTTTATATGAAATTTATTTTTGGTAGCTAAACTTTAATGGTCGAGGAATTCATGTTTGTAACTCTGATGTAGAAAAACTATTAGTACAATAAATTAGTAATGGGAATTCCGAACTTTTAATTTAATCTTTTAGTTGAATTATTTTTGCATTACTATGACAAAATGACATATGGATTAACCTTAGTAATTAGATTAACAACAGTTCATCAAGAATTGTTATTTTATTGGAACATCTGAGCACATACAATCCACTAACCATACTTCAAAGTCTGGCAGTACATAGGTAATAAAATCTATTTACTTGACCTTAATATAGTCTTGTGTCTGGGTCCACCAGTAGATTATCATACACCAAAACCCTTCACCACAAAAACACGACTCCAAGTAAAAAATAACTATTTGGAACACATAGTACATAGGTCACTGAACACTGATAACAGCCATAAAATACATTTGGACTTATTGTGGTTCAAAACACTTTTGAAACTAGCAATAGTACTTCTCAGTCAACACTATTTGTATAGAAAACCCTTTTTGGACCAATGTGCAAGTTATAAAACTTCTCCAGAAGATGAATACTATCGATAGTATCCATAGTACTCCAAATACTATTTAACTTGTCCAGCCTCCTGTGTCTGTTCAGGCCTTAAGTCTGATTTATATTCACTTTTGTAGCTAGAGTCAGATTGATTAGAGGACTCATTTTGTTTGAAGTCTTTGTCTTCGGAGTACTTGGACTTGCCCTGCTCCTGTTCTCTTTGCTGACGCCGGCGCTGTTTGGACCACAGCTCGTGACAGTCTTGCCATGTCGGCAATTCTGGTGCTGGCATTCTGAAATTTTTTATATTTATGTTAACTAAGTAATCGATGGTTCGTAAAATGACGAATGTGACAGAATCCTATATATATAATAATTAATTATCATCATTGGTATGGTCTAACGTACATCACAACTTAGTTTGTATTATTTTACGCTTAACCTTTAATACAATAGTTAATTAAGTCATTGCCTCAATTCTATGTATGCTGTGTGTCAATACATTCGTGCCTTATTACACATTTTTTTTAAATATATTAATTTGCATGATACAATTTAATATATATAAATAAATTTGCATTATATAATACACATTAAAATATATCACATTGCAGCATATTATGCTAATACTTACTGTTCCGGCACAACACTCTTCAACCAAGCGCTTTTTAAGGCCTCCTCGGCCGTGATTCTCTTATCCGGGTCCAACTCAAGCATCCGATCGAGCAAGTGCAACGCCGCGGCGGGCATAAACGCAAAGTGTTCGCGAACACATCGCTTATGGAACCGTTTCGGCCTCAACGTGTGCCATAGAGGAAGATTTACGACATTCGGCCACACACCTGGGACGGGGGTGCCACACACCCGAGATATCATTTCGAGTTGCATCATTTCCATGTTAGCCTGGAAAACATCGCAGCATGTGTTAAAGAAAATACAATCTGCCTGCAATCCGAAAAACTGTAATTTAAGCACGATATTATATTATTTATCAAGGTTCATATTTTTATTGTAGGCAAGCGAAGTCGCGAACTGCAGCAACTGACATTGGGACATTTAAACAGAACTAATGGAAAGTAAATAATTTGCCTCATGTAAAAACTATTTGGTGCATTTAAAATAGTAGTAACAGCTAATCAACTAAAACAAATTTGCGAGTACTGTAAAACTGCAATTTTAATTTCTACTTCCCATCACAAACAATTTTTTAATCATATTTAGAAAAACATTTTCAAACAAAATAAAATAAAAACTTCATCAGTTTAATAGTCAATCAAAGACCTTAGATAAAAGCAGGTGTTCAGAACAAATAAACTTTTTTTTTCACGGTAGATTGGTTCCGCGATTATAGGAAACGCATTGTAAGTCGAGTGTAGAAATGATTCACGATTTCTCGTTAAAGGGGATTTAAATCGTATTTTAAGAAATAAACTATGTTACGAACGAAATAAGTACGTATAAATGTCATCACAGAAATATAAAGTGTCCTAACGTTATGTAGTACAATATAATACCTGTGTTATATGAGGGACTGAAATCGCGTAATATAAAATGGGTTATAAGAGTACCTATGTTATGAGGGTTTTACTGCACATCTTTCAATGAAATATTACCTGAAACACTGGATGTTTTTGAAACAATTCCCCCAAGATACACCCCATGGACCATACATCAACTGATGGGCCATATCGCTCTTCACCGAGTAACAATTCAGGTGGCCGGTACCACAGAGTGATCACTTTGTTGGTGTATGGCCGCTGTCTGTCTTCTGCTGACCAGAGCCGCGCGAGACCGAAGTCGCCTAATTTTACTTCACCTCTGAAATTAGTTATATTACTTTGAGATATCTATTATTAGATCATACTATATAGAGAAAAATCAACACAATATGACAATAATAAAAAGAAATATGGATATACTATATTTACTAAATAATTTATATTTAGATAAAAAAAATATCAGTATCATTCCTCTGGACACAAATTGTTAGCAGTGTCATAAATGAGGTATTATAAGCGGCACGTAAGTCTAGCGCTGGCCGATACGTGGAGGGGATTGCTGCGCATGTGTACTGTCGCGCACGCAATACATTATATGCCTCAAATTTACAATGTTGCTGTCCGAATGACTCAACAAAGTATTTGTAGCTTCGTCAATCTCACTTTGGATTTGTTTCAAAGAATCAATTAATTCGTTAGATTCCCTTTTTAAAAAACAATTCACGTCATAAACCATTTTCCTGGCTTGTCTTTTCAAAACAGTATTTGTTCAAGGCATATTCACTTTAAAGTCACAAACAAACTTAAAAACAAATCACAAACAACAAAACACTAACAAATTCAAATGTAACAAAAAACAAAAAAAAAAAAAAAAAAAAAAAAAAAAAAAAAAAAAAACAAAACGTAACAACAGTAACAATAATATTAATGACGCGACTGTACACGGTTGATGGTTTTTAAAAAAAAAAAATAAGTATTGGTTTAAATATTCAATTTAAATCACTTCTGATTATAATTCAAAAAGGTTGCTTTTCTTCTCCTTTTTTGTTGAAAAAAAAAAAAAAAAAAAAAACCCCTTTTTCTTTTTTTTTTTTTTTTTTGTTTTTTTTTTTTTTCCCCCCCCCCGGGGGCCCAAAAAAAACCCCCATTTTTTTTGTGGGGGGGGGGGGGGGGGAAAAAAAAAATTTCCCCAAAATTTTTTTTTATGGCGGGGGGAGGGGAATTTAAAAAAAAAAAAAAAAGGAAGAAAGGGGAAAAAAAAAATAAAAGGGGGGGCTGTACACGGTATGTGCGCGGGGCGTCGTATCGGTGCGGGGGACGGAATGCGACTGGAGAGCCAATCGACGCTACGCGCGCCCGCTCTTCATTCCGCTATCCCCCCTCAGGTACCTTTTTTTTACTTCTGCGCAATAACGGTCAGCGCTAGAGTTTCGTACCGCTAATAATAATTAGAATTTAATAATTAAATAATTTCTTACTTATTATTCATCAAAATATTACTGCATTTGATATCCCGATGTAGAAAGTTTTTCCGATGACAGTAAGCCAAGCCGTCCAAAAGCTGTCTCATTATGGAGGCATTGTGGGACTCGGTGAAATCAACCATTTTGGACTCGAGTAGACCCATGAGATCGTGGTCCATGTATTCAAATACTAAGTAGAACGAGCCTTTGTCCTGAAAGTTGTTTAATAATGTATTAGCGTAACATTATGCAACACGCTGCTTTTGTTAAAGCTTCGTGAAAAAATTATACATTAATTCTGACAGACAAGATCAAAAGGTGTATATTAAAATAATTATAAATTGATAATTAACAATACAAATATTTTCGAAAGAGAATGTGAATGAAAAGTACATTTAAAACCGTTATTACAAATCAAAAGTAAGTCACCTTTCTAAAGTCCATAGCATCTTGTTTGTCCGTGACAATTTCCCTCAAATTAACGATATTCTTATGATTCAGCTGTCTGAGGATTTTAATTTCCCTCACGGCTGTGATTGGAAATCCCTCCTTTTCATTTTCTAATCTGACTTTTTTGAGGGCAACCAGTTGACCAGTGTTTTTATCTTTGGCCTTGTACACTTGACCATATGTACCCTCACCTATTTGGGTTATGACCTGAAATTATTGAGTATTATTAGAAATTATATCCAACACTGAGAACGGCTAAATCTTTGCAGGTCTTTCATAGATAAATTCTATATATAGAAGACAATATTGTTGAGAAACTTAAAACTATCAAAAAACAACAATACCTGGAAGCCATCAACACATTTTTCTCCCCAATCCTTAGCATGATGCGTGCTCGTTGCGACGGGGACAACTTTTGACCCACGCCGTTTTAGGATCCGCGGCCTTTTCAGTTTTGCAGCAGACTGAAAATAACATATTCTTAATTAACAATGTGGATAGTGCAAAAATGCGAAACTCATATACAGTGCATGAGTGAAAATAAGAAAGGAAAGAATTTATAACCAATTAATATTATTTTCTAAATGTACTGTTTCTAAGTTACGTCGATACTAATTTGTTAGGATTCTGGAATAAAATAAGGTTTGGGTTCAATATATAATTTATTTAATAGAGTACCAAAATATTTAAAAGCGAAATAACTTCTTTTTTCACTAATAACGCTTTCTAGGATTCTCCGTGTTATATGTATGTATAAGCTGGTGTAAAGATTAGGTAAAACCTAAAAAATGTTAACAATAGATAAAGAAACACTTACCGGTATATCCTTATTATTCTTCCTTGTAAAAACGTGTGAATACCTATCGGAGTTAGACACCGGCGGTGGTGTGGAGCCTTCCATCTCATCTCCACTCAATTCTTCTGAACCTGGTATCACTGCAAATTAGATATTCATATAAAAATGCAACATTAATAATATGAATTTATTTACCACACCAAGCGGACGGCGCAGGCTTATTTTAACCAATACATTTGTTTATATATAGTATATCTTTGCGCTCTGTTTACTGACGTGGAATGAAACATACTTATTTTTCTGTTAATTAATACCCGCAAGACGTTTTATTTTTATGCATAAATTTAAATGGAATGGAAAAAAAACTGAATGGTTTGATGCTATTTTAAGTCGATAATTTTAATGCTAAATGGTATACATACATAATAAAGGTAAAAGGTTTGTTTTTTTGGTGGGTAGAATTTTTTTTGTACATTTTTAAATGATTTACCAGGTGGCATGGGTAGATTCATGATTCCAGTCTTTTTAGGCTTCTCAGGTTTCTTGACAGGGCTTAATGTTGGAGTACTCAGTGGACTGTCATTGGCAAGGGTTTTAAGATCTTCTACCTGCAACACATTTAACGCAACACTTTAAAAAAAATATTCTTGCAGTTTTCCTTCTTGTACAGAATAGCTAATTATCATTTTATTAAAAAAAAATACAATTTTATACTTGGAAATACTTGGACTCCTTGGAATGCAGAATATAGTATGGTTTGGATCACGTTTTAATTATGATCAATCATTAAATCAGACAGAAATTAAACATTTTTATTAAATATACTATATGAAAAAAATTTTTTAAACAATATTTTTATTAGAAACCTGCTTGAAATTTCTTTGAACATAGATCAGCTATTAAGATTTTTAATTGGCAATAATTTGGTTAACTATAAAATAATTACCTGCGTGTTAGGTGGCATGGGCAGTTTAGTTAGGCTTTTAGGCTTAGGCAGAGGAGGCTGCTGGCTGTTCAAAACTACACTTTCCACTATACTTTGTTTTACACCTTGTACAGGTGGAGTAGATGTGTTCTGTTGAAAAAAAAAATTCACTGTATTTAATTCCCTAAATCCTGGCACATAAGCTGTCAATAGAAAATACTTGTAAGTGAAACTAATAATTATTATTTTAACCATACCTCTGAACCATTACTAGCAGTATCTCCGTTGGCAATGACAACATCATCAGGGGGTTTTAATGGTGGTTCTGGCTCAGACAGTGGCAAAGGTGGCTGGCTCTCTTCCTGGAGCGGCATTGGAATGTCCACTACATCTTGTCCCTTATTTGAATCGCCATTTTCTTTGGATACCTGAAATCGACAAACATGGTCTGATGATTTTGTAAAGAAAAAGTTTACCGAGCAAACAAAATTAGACTTCTGACACAGAAAGGAAAATTTCTAACTTATGCAACAATTTAAGCAATCTTAGTTACATATACTTCCTAATACTACAATTGTTGAAATAGAGTTTAAATAGAGAAAATGAATTGCTAAAAATATAAATTTCCAATCTACAGTACACATCAAAACATACCCCCTCTCTTTTGACTAGTATATTTTTTTTGTCAAATAGTGTTTACACTGTTGATAAAAAGAGGAGTTAAAATGAAACAAGTAGGCGGATTTATTATGAATAATAGAGTATGTGTTAAATTGATTGAGATGATTCAAATACTTTATCCAGTGTTCAATTCCCGGCGAATAACAATTCTCGTAGTAATACGCCCATTTATGAAAGCAATATAATTTTGAAATGACTTACTCCTAAAAATCTATTTTATATAATGAAACCTGTGTATTTTAGGTCATGTTACCTGTGTCAAACTATCGGTTTCAGTATTGGAAAGTTCATCAATAGTGAGAATGTCCGGGTTGTTGATAGATGCTGTACTGGATATGGCACCTTGAGATTCCTCTTCCTTCTGGTTTAGAATCTCCTGCAGTTTCTGATACACAAGAAAATGTAGATATATTTATTAGACAAAATATAAGTTTTGGGGAGAAGTCAAACCTAATAATATCCCGATATTACTTTAAAATCGCGTGTAAACTTCTTCATTGGTTTTTCTTAAAGTGTATTTGCAATTTTAATAATATTTGGAGGTTTATTTTAGGAAATAAAAAAAAACAATTGCGATGTCAATAAAGTCGATAAACAGATGACCTAATATTAATTAAATTAAATTATTAATTAAAACTATTATTAACTCAAAATCAAATGGAGTAATACCTTTGCCCGTTTATGTTTGTCCTTGACAAGTTCAGCAAATAGACTTGTATCACTGATTTTCTCCTTGAAGTCTATTCTACGTTGGAGTACTGTTGGTGGACTCGGGGAATCGTGTCTGCTTCTGCAAATAAAACATAATATTTATAAAAATATTGATTAAATTAACAAAACTACGTACTGCAGCATGGGCAGACTCATTAATGCGTCCATTTCATTGACATATTGTTTCGTCCGGTGATGAATTCATAAAATATTATGCTGTAAAATAAAGAAATGCTAAAATGTTTACCTATGCCTATCCCGACTGGGGTCCTTATGCCTCGGCCTATGTCTCGGCGGTGACGATGACCGGCGACGAGAGCGCGACATCGAACGTCGACGCTTCATTGAACTACGACTATTTGACCTGTGAAATTTTTTTTTGTTTTTAACCAACTTTAAACAAGCGATTATCCTTTTAACCGATGTCTATAATATATGTCGCAGCCAACTACCTTATTTAGCCGTTCAATCAACAGCCTAGCCTATACTAAACAGCGCCGTTAAACTGGCGGTTTAAATGACATTCAGCCGTAGTGATTGTTACACAAACTGACTAATAAAATCTTTATTTAATATATTTCATGAAACATATTTCTTTTCTTTGGAAATCATGAGCGATCAGTTTCGGAAGTTTCGGCGCTAGGTTGCAGAAAGTAGAACTAAATTGAAATGAACAGGCATCGAGCTGTCAAGTAAAGCGGCTAGGATGTTGATTGAACGGCTAATTAAGCTAGTCGGCTGCGAGATATATATATATATATATATATGTTTAAATTACCGAATATGTACACGATGATCCCTATGGCGTTCCCTTTCACGGCTCCTACGTCTATGCGGGCTGCGCTTGCGATGCCGTCGCGGACTGTAGTCACGCATTCGAGACTCGTGAACAGGTGAGTCTGAAACCAATGAGACCATATGTTGCACAAGTACTTATGTCTAACACAATTGAATAAACATGAATAAAGAACTTTTAATTTATCTTATTATTTATAGAAACCAACATTATGATTTGATGCAAAACAGTACATCAAGTTACATTACACTTATATGGAAACACAAGAAGTTGCCAAAGAAATTACTATAATATAAAAATCAGTATCACCAAAACTACTTCTTATACATTTTGGGTTTATTTAATGCGTTTAAACCATTCATATCTTCGATTTAATGAAAATAATTATTGATTGAATCAACCAATTTTTCATATTTATAATGAAAGGCTTGAAATTGTTACAGCAACAGGCTTAACAATTATAACACCAAGTAACAAGAGTCTTACCTGATATAATCATAATATCATTCATCCTGTGGGGTTCTTGCCAATAATCCCTTCTAGAGCGATCGTAATCGTCATTGTCAGATTCAATTGTGACAGTCTCATGGTATGGGATGGATGGTGTCCGAGGAGTTGATGATTTCTGACGGCGTCTGCTGCTTGTACTGCTAAATAAAGATTATGAATATCATTATTTAATTTACTGATAAACATTTAAAATAGTATATTAATATTACATACAACATATTAGCATGTTTTTCTGAAAGTATCATATCGTAAATTATTAATAGTCCTCACAATAAATGTTGTTTAATATGTTTTTAATGAGAATTTATAATTCATTGTACTTATTTGAATTATCTGAAGATAATGTGCTAATTAATTATACTAATGTATTCTTAAAATAAATGTTAATACAAAATTTACGTATGTTATATATATGACAACTAAATGTAAAAAACATTACCTAAACATGTTACAAAATTAGCATAATCAATGTCATTATTTTTTATGTATTTCAATTACTCCAAATGGCTTGTGTCAGAAGGTCGTACTTACGTAGCAAACATGGCGTGTTTGACTCACATGTGATAGCAAGATCAATTTCTAAACTATTTTTAAATCAAAAATTATTAATGATTGAGCTGTGTTGCATGGCAACCCTAATAATACAATACACCATATGACTTGTATCTATGGTTATGCAATAAATTTAAAAAATCCATAACAACAGGACATTAGCATAGCATTTAGTTCAATGAACTTAACCATGACCAACATAAGTTGAATGACATAAGAAATTTATCTATATTAAATAACTAATTGCTAAAATAGTTAAATGAAATATTCAAACAACTAATATGACAATAGAAAATATAGTAATTTAAATGAATCGGTAATAATACAAACAAAAGCAAACTTTTCTTAAAATCTAAATATTTTGTGATTAACTCATCATATACATTTATCATTGTAAGGGTTAAAGTTCAATAAGTTAATGTATCTAATATCATCATGTTACTCAAAACTAATTGTTTTCTACATTTTCAAACAGTAGTCATAACTTATACATTTGACAATTAAATTGAAACATAATTGTAAAAATAACATTTCTTATTTTATATGCATTGGCCACACCCAATTTATAGCACTTTATTAATCTTATCTGCTTTTAAGTATCTTAATATAATTACATATAAAATAAACAATGCTTACCATAAGTCAATACTGTCAGCATGCAAAAGATCATTATAATTTTAATGTTAAAAAACTATGTGACTACTTTATATATAAAATAGACAATAATAAACTTCAAATATTAAAAAAAATTTTGCACAGTAGTTTTATTAATATATTATCTAATACCAGTATCTCATGGTAAAATAAGAATAAGATCAGATGATTTCATAACAAGAAATGAATAAAACTTACCTAATAATAGGAGAACGTTCCCTATGAGGTGAATAATGCAGTAAATGATCGTGATGTTCAACCCGATGCCTCAGAGGACTTAATTTACTTCTTGCCATAGGAGGTGTAGTCGGAGAAAGAGGTGAACAGGAGCCATTGCGAAGAGGTGATGAAGGCTTTTCCCATTCACTAATAGGCACTTGAGAATATCTCTGGGGACTAGGAGGTCTGGGTACAGTTTTCTCTAAGACATGATCATCTGGTGAAACACTCTCAAGACTAGCTGATCTTGAAACATGTTTCGACTTCTTCTTTTTCTTCTTCTTGTCTTTTTTCTTTTTACCTTTCTTTTTGTATCTATCATAATCAACATTTTCATACTCCAAGTCAAGTTTAGTCCTCACAGCTGAAGATTCACGAACAGGTGGGTATTCATCCCGACGACTGGTTGTTGTTACTGATATCTTGTTATCAAGAAATGTGCGCACAGAGTGTGATTTTCTAGTTCGATCTAGATCATCAGCTATGTGCCTGCCAATAGAGCTAGCCTCGCTCTCAATCTCACCAGCCTCCGGGGCTGATAAGTCTTCAGAGCTTACATCTGAATACTCCACTAAGGGCTTAACTGAGTTACTCGTAGCATAAGATTGATCATGAGTACCACCAGAGCTGCTTCTGTGCTTCTTGTGCGAATGTTTCTTGTGCTTCTCCTTATGTTTGGTATGACGCTTCTCATGGCCTCGCTCCATATTGGAGGCGGGCGGCTCCAGCGTCGATCACTTGTATTTACATGAACTGTAATTTTAGGTATTTATTAAATTAAATATTGTTGAAAAATAAAATGCGATATCAAGGACGATTATGAGCCCAAGCCTTAATTGCTTGCGTTAAAAATCCAAATAATATTTTCATTTCATGCAATAACACAAGCAAATAAAGTAACTGTTAGGTATTTACCTAGAAGTACGTGTGCTAAAAATAGATGACGATGTGCTTTATTTAATTTAATAAAGCACACAAAAAACAAGCCATGCACTAAATACAATAAAAAAGAACTTACCTCAAAAATAAACGAACATGGATTCGGTGGAAGCACGATTTTTATTTTTGCAAATTTCTAGTTCTAAATTGGGTTAGACAGGACTTTCAGTTTTAAAGTCTTTAAGACCGATTATTACAGCCAATATTATATGATACTGGTTATTTATTACTTTGTAATTTTTATTTTGCTATTCATAATCATAAAGAGCTCATAATTCATGTAATAACATCGGATTATATTTTACAAAATTAAGGATGTCGATTGCTTTTCTGTTCAGCCATTTGCTTTTTTCATTCCATCATTCATTGTATAATATTGACATTAGTAGACTTAACTAGTGTTGTTCCGATTAATCGATACTGAAGAATCATTTTGTAGGATTCTGAAAAATACAATCAAAATTATAAAAGATTAAAGAACTTTCAGAGAAAAGACAAATATATTTTGAATGTAAGGTAAACTATTTTTCTAATTTCTATTGAATTAGTATATTAAGCTTGAGCCGTTTTAACTGTCTTACCTGTTTAGCTTGAACTCTCTCCCTTGCATAGCGATAATCTCTTAACACAAAATATTTAACTTAACTTAAAATGTTTCTAATTACGCTTCTATTTATTATATATTAGTTAAATGTTAAAACTACTAACTGCCCAATAACCTAGCATGTCCTTGAAAATAAATCAAATGGATCGAGATTCGAGAATCGATTACAATCGAGTAAAATAAATACGGCACTATTTGCAGTAAAATCTTTGCAGTCAAGACGTGAAATAGTAGTTACTAGTTTGACAATGACAGTACTAGACGGCCTAACTAAAAAAAAATAATCTATGAAATTATTTTATTGATTCCTTTTATTAAATAGAAATAATACAAATGTATACCATTATTACGTCAAAAATAGAGGTTTTAAATAAACGATAATTATCGGTTAAAATTCATAACATAAGAGAGTTAGGAATTTTTTATCTATGGCACAGATTTGCTTTGCAGTTTGCGTCCTTCATGAAGCATTATTTTTTGCATAAATCGGAGTAAAAGAATTTCATAATTATAACTTTTTAGACAAAATATAATTGTTGCTTTATATTATACGTTATTGGTGAAGTTCAAATACGCTTATATTGAAACATTGTAGTCACGAAGCGCTTTAATACTAATTATAATTGCGCTTATAGCTTGTGTTGTTCATCGTAATTAATGAAATCTCCCAATATGGAAAAGATATTTAAAACATTTTAGTGTTATAACTTCTTGTTAAGCGGTGTACTTTCATAGTTCAGGTGCTTAGATCATTTACCTCGAACTAATCGTATTCCATAGGGAACTATGGTTAGAATCAAATTTGTGCCCGTAGCTACTGTGAACTCTTCGGCGTGGTGATACCGTAAACTAATTAGAAAATATGTAAATAAACATGAACGATATAGATATCAAAATAGTGGATTCACCGAAGGACCGGTTACTGGTTGCTGCAGAGTCGCCTTTGCCGGAAAATTCGGGTGAAAATGAGGTCGACCCCTTGTGCATTGACGAGGATATGAACTCCGCTAAAGACTTGCTGCCCGTAGATAAAACTGGCATAGAAGAAGATGTGGGCAACTGTGATGATAACACCAAAGAAGAAGTAGAAAATGAACCTAAGGAAGCTTCTCCTGAATTAAAGGAAAACTCAAGTAAAGTTATGATAATCATATTTAAAAAAATGTTCACAAGCATTTACGATCAAAACAAATTTTCTCATTCATTTGATTATGATTCTTGTTAACATCATATTTATGCTGAGAAATATATTTGTAATTAATATTTATTTATAATATTTTAAGATATAATAGCCGAGCAAAATTGCATCAACAATATTGAAGAGGAAACTGCCAAAACATCTGATTTGATTGAAGGGCATAATGATACAAATGATGGAGTTGTAACCAAAGAGGAAAGTAGAGACCTACCCCTAGAAGTGAAGAGTAAAGAAAAATCTGAAAAAGAGGTTGAAGGCGATGTTGAAATGTCCGAAGCCCCAGTAGATAAAACAGAGAAAGAGACTAAACCTAGTCTTTCTGTTAATGGGGATGTTATTAAGGTAAGATTACTTTTATAATAAATCTAGTTCTTTGAATTTACAAATCATAGCCTACATTACTCTAGAGTCTAGACTATTATAGTGACTTCTGAATACAATAGTTTTTATACATAATGGCTGTCAAATAGCTATAGAGAAATGTACAACTCATAGCTAATCATCATTGTATAATAAAATGTATCTTAAAAATATATTAAACTGTTATTTTTCTTCATCATAGTCTTCATTACTGAATGTTGTGCCTGTCTTGAAATGCTCTTACTAATGTTGATGTGATGCCTTCATTCTATCCTCCGCGTGTCTCAGGCTATTCTTTTGTTTAGATGTATTGAGACCTAATTTTAAGTGAAATTGTCAATATTTCACAAATTATCCATTTAAAAAGTACAAAATAGAGAAATGTCTCTGGCTTGGACATTGCAGATCTTTACTCCCTATATTTACCTTGATTATTTTAAGTAGTTAATATTTATTATATTTTTGTTGATATTTTGAATATAAGGAGGAACCTGTGAAACGGAGAGCTAGTGAAGATATTGATACTGAATCTCCATTGAAGAAGCTGTGTCAAGAAGTTGAAAAGACATTTCCACAGCATGATATCATGATAACTGACTACATTCAAACAGCCACCAAAAATAATGTTGATGAAATTCAAAGGCACACAGAACAACTTCTGTCGGAAATACAAACACTAAGAGAACTTGCACAAAAGAAAGAACACGAATGGAACAATATACTTCACCTAAAAAAAGTCAAAGAAGAAATTCTGCTCAGGCTACTGAGACGAAAACAAGTTCTATCATTTGAGAAATCACCAGACGTGAATGGCGCGGAACGTTGCGATCCATTTGACTATTTGAATCAAGCCAAGAATTTAGCAATCGATAAGAGTGATGAAATTTCTGGTCTGTCATTGAAACCGCCTGGATCTGCGAATCCAATGATTCAACCACCAGTAATGCCAGTCACGACGCACTTCAATTTAATGTCAGGGTTGCCACCGCCATATGATAAGACGGCCCACATGCCAATGTCGAAACCAATGTTTCCACAAGGGTTGATGATGCCCGGTCCGATGCCAGGGTTCCCGAGAGATATGAATGGACAATTACCCTCTAGTTACGGAATGCCTATGGGTCGTCAAGGTCCAATAAAGGATGTTAAGTCCATAATAGCGGATTATAGACAACGCAATCCTGAAATGGCGCCGCGGAGAGGTAGGCGGATGAAGTCGATTGTTAATCCGAATATTATGAACCCTAGGCCCATAGCACCCAAGATGGATAATGTTAACAGCTTGGGAAACTTAAATATGCTATTCAATAATTTGGATATGGTAAGTCTTTTTACAATAATTTTTAGATAATATACTAATATTATTTATGCCTATGCGATAGCAGCGAAAGATGCAAATTTTACAACTTCTCTGTAACGTTATTTTTAGTACTAAAACTCCTAATTAAAGCAAAATTTTATAATAATTTATTTATTGCAAGAATATGGTACAAAATGTTAAGGTGATACAATCGTAAATCGTTCGCATATTCCGCCACACACGATGGCGCAAATTTGTCTTAAGGAATTTTACATTATTATTCAAAGTCAATTCTTATATTATCTAGTCTATTATAGTATATACATTACATCACATGTTTATACTATAATATATATGTTCCTCTCTGGCGGTAGTTTTGAGTTGCGTTTCCTTGTCGAATTAAATCTTTAAAACCCCTACTCTTAAAACTGAAATCTTTACTGTGCAAAGTATTCTGCTTTGGAACTCATATATATTCTTTTTTGTTAATGATATATTTATACGATACTTGTACTTTACCCTCTGTAGGTGTTTATTTTTATTGTTCAACTAGGGTTGCCTGGAAGATATCGCTTGTTAGTGATAAGGCCGCCCGTTGCCTATTACTTTTGTAACCTGCTTTTTATATGTTTGTTTTTGTATAAGTTAACGAAGTGTAAATAAATAAATAAATGAAAAATATTTGTATACTAGTATTGTCTTTGATTAACATAACTTTTATTCATTTAATAAAACACTATTTTGACCGGATTGATCACGGTGACCACGCACGCTGTAAAGCACGCGAAACGTCGGATAAATTTAAAATTATGTTAAATAGTTGTAAATTTATAATAATACATAACTTCAATCCGGTCAAAATAGTGTTTTATTATTTGTATACTATTACGTTAGTCAAATTCTTAAGATTTTCATGATTTTGTAAACGATTCGTATTCGATTTCGAATTTGGTTCAGTTACGGATCAATGGACATCAAGGCAGAATACAAAATACCATCCGTATCACCTCGACGTCCGTCGTTCCACAACTGAGCGTTTTCTAAGGCAGTTTTTGCCGCGCACCACCACTATGTGGAACCAGCTGCCCGCTGATGCATTTGCGAACCAATTTGACTTAGGGTCCTTCAAAAATAAAAACTATTATGAAAACTATTTATATTCTATTCTATAATAAAAACACGTAGCATTTTAATTTACAATTCGTCATTTCAATAAATTACTTTGCATAAAATAATAATATTTCATAAATTCTCTTTACGAAATTTTAATTTTTAAAATATAATTTCTATAAGGTAATTCGCCTTTCTCAATCTCCCAATCGGTCTCAATCGCTCTCTCCCGTTTGTTCGACAAACTGCACATCTTCGTGACGCTAATATTATTATTATTGCGTTTCATCCGTAAAAATTTTACTAAAGAAATGAAACTATATCACTACCTAGTTAAGGTGACACTCAGCAAGCGTCGAATTAATTGCGATGCATCCTTGACCCTTCGCCACAGAGGCGCGGTACTTGTCTTGCATTATTGGTATTATTGCTTTAACGATATTTGCTTTAGCTGTAAATTTTTCGTGATAATTTTGCAGAATTCACAAAATATTCTCGTTAAACGTAGTTGATATGAGAACTCAGCGATGTTTAAACGTTTATTTTCCGGATTCTCTTTTCCACAGCTGCATAGTCATGGAAACATTTATTTTAATGTACCTACTTCAACTATTTATATACAGTCAACACATTCTACGTGCGGTGATAACTAAAAAACTGTCAATTTTCACTTCACTGTCAGTTTTTTGTAAAGTAGCAACTATTTCCAGAAGCCTAAACTGTGCTAAAAATAATATAAATTAAAATGCTCGTATTTATTTCAGAATCAAAAAGCAATGCTAGAACGTCTCCAACAAATGCAAGCAGGGGGATTGCCCAATGGTTTATCGTTCAAGGATGTGTTAGTGCAGTTTGCGAACATGCAACAACCTGGTATGATGAACAGGCCAATGGATATGCCGAGGCCAGAACACATTCGACCAGATAGAAGAAGACAGGAGAGGAATGAGGAAATGCATAAACAGGTATGTGCAAGAACCTGTGTAATTACAATATTTAAGATAAAACATTTCTGTTTGAAAGAGATTGATTTGATTTTAATGAACAACTAGCGAATTCATTTCGCCTTAATATTTTTTTTTATTTTCTATACTAATAAATTAAAATAAAGCAATAAATTTTAAAAATACTCGAATCGGTCCAGCCGTCTTCGAGTTTTGAGCTTAGCAACATATTTTGTGACTCATTTGTTTTATAGATGAAGTATTTTTGTAACAAATGACAGTCTAGATATAATATTTTTGTTAGGCCAGAAATTATCTGTCATGGATTTAATTTACTTATTTTGTTCTAAAAGATTATGTATTTGTATTAGCGAAATTATATTGAAAACTTATGATAATTGATTATATATTACAGTTATTTTTAAATGGATCAATTTGATTTCAATAAGACTGTCATTCATAAAATGTATTTCAGTTTGTCTAAAACGTACGGATTTTTGACATACGGGTTTTCATCAGCGTTTGATCTTTAAACTTTGCATGACGTTTTACAAATTGCAGGCAGAAAGGCTGGCGTCACCAAGTCCAAGACTGCCCCCTCCGCCACCTTACCCTGAAATATCTCTTCTCCCAGTCAACTCCAGTCAGGAAAACACGCAGCAAAACTCATTGCTGCACGGCATCCTTACAAAGGTATGTGGGTTGGATTTTTTTGCTCTGATATATTCGTGGCATATTATTTTTTGTATATTATGTTGATGTATTAGTAAAATTTTTTCGAACCTAGAAAATTGGTTGAAAATTTTTCTCTCTATTAGCGAATTCATTAACAAAAAGTTCGTTCAGTTCGTCATTGCTATCGAGAGATGTAGGTACTGTGTTTTGACATGTACATTCATAACAAAATGTTATTTAATTATTTTATTTGAAAAATCAGTTTCCAAATTGTAATGTATATAAATTTCATTTATAAAATTTTTAGTATCTTATATCCTAACCTATAAATGTCTAAGAATTAGTTAATATTATATATATTTATGCGCACGCGCACGATGCACGCACATACGAAGCATAAATCTCATAATGAATAAAGTAGACTATATGAATTATCAATAATTGTGGCTAATAGTATATTAATAAATTCGAGTACTATTTGTGTATTATAGAAGAGAGTGGGCAAAGCGTTTTAACGAAGTTATACACGTTTAACAAATTGTCAAGATTTGATGCACTTTTAAGAAATTAACAACTAAAATGGTAGTTTTTTCCTTACAATAAAGAGAGTGCGACCTCACATTTTTTTAAAGGCGGCAAACGGGCAGGAGGCTCATCTGATGTTAAGTGATACCGCCGCCCATGGACACTCACATTGCTGGGAAGCTCGCAAGTGCGTTGCCGGTCTTTTAATGATACATGAATGACAATCTAGCCTGTACAATAATTATGGCTAATTAGTAATTAGAAACTAGTACAAAATTAACTCAATATAATATTGAGTTAATTTTGTACAATACTGGTGAATAGCTTAAACTTAGGTAATGTTCAAAACAGTCTTAGTGTTTTATGTTTGACACTATGTTCGTTGGTCCAAGATACCGCACTTGCACTTGTATTCAAAGTTATTCATAAAAATAATAAGTCACGATCGATATGAACCAAATTATAGATCAAAAAAAGGTACACAGCTTGTCATTTTTATTTCATTTAGCTTTGCAATGTTAGCGACATGGAGCATGAAAAGGGATTTAGATAAAACATGTCCTTTAATTTTAGTACTAACCCGAGTTTATTTAACGATCGGTTACCTAAACCACTCGTCACTGTCGTACTTGGAGTAGACAAAAAATTTGACGTTTGTGTTTTGATGAAGAAATCGTAACGCTAAAACCCACGCAGATTTTATCGAACTTCATAGATTAATATTATTTCAATAATTAAAAAAAAAGATTAATTGTTATTTTAGTTAAATATCGAATTTGTAAAACTGCGTCGATAGGGTAACTGTTAGCTCTACTTATCTGTGGTATTTTAATGTCAATGTCAAGTCGTTCATGAAAATGCAAATGTCAAATGAAGCACTCCATTATCGCAATTGGATTAGCTTGAATGAGTGTTGCCAACCTTCCAGCAGGCGTCACCTGCGACTCAGAGTTACTCGCCGACGTTGGCTAAACTGCTTACGTCACCCGAAGGGAAACAGGCGCCGTTGACAACTTTCGGTCAGGCCAAGGTACCTTACAAATAAAGTTGGCGGTGAACGACCACGGCACTCGATATTATGACTATGTAAAACCAACTCTCAAAGTCTTACAAGTAATTCGTATTCTACTATCTAAAATGACAGTTTGAATAATATCGGGGGTTTTCGGTTCGAATTTGAACCGTCAGCTAAAATTAATTGGTGTCACAATTGGCCTCGATCAAAAAAAATTCAAAATTTTAGTTTTAAGAATAGTGTAAGCGCGTAGATGGCAATACTCATTGTTGCAAAGCCACTTCATTTTCATTTTGCAAAGGCACAGATACACTGAACCGAGATTGTGCATGATGCCGATGAGATTTAAAAATTGAAAATTCGGGAAAGTTGGTGCTAGGTGTGAAAATTTATGTTTGTACAGAATTGTGGCGAGATCACAATTACTCCGGTGCAGCCGACACCACCACCGCAAGAAACGCAGACGCAAGAGAAACAAGATGTTGGACAATTGGTATGTAACAATTTTCCTTCAATTTTTAGTTAATATAAAGGTTTTAGATAAAAAAATAATATAACCCCTAGTAAGTGGAAGTTAACTTAAGACTTGGTCTTAAATCAGTGGGCTTCTACCTAATCTGGTCCTTCGATTTCTGTATCTGATTTTTCTAATGGGCAAGTAGGGGGTCAGAATTTTGTGCCCGAAAGACGACATCTCTAATCACTAATAATAATAATAATCAAACTTGTTTTTACGATGTTTTCCGTTACTGTATTAAAAAGTATGTGTGTTAAAAATGTTAGAGCAAGTGTGAAATGTGAACATAGCAGCTTGACGGTATACCTACGACCGTTGGGAGTCGCACGCTGAGGATAAACAAAGGGATGGAATTATTCTCAAACGTTCTGGCATTTGGCTCATGGGCAACGAGGAAACTTTAAATGAGGCTTCCAGTCCCATTCCTAAAAAATATTATTTATAAAACTTTATAGACATATCGACTTTTCGCCTCAAATAGGATTTTGACTTCAAAAAGGAGGTTATCAGTTTGACTGGATTGTTGGAATTAGGTAATATTTTAGTAACATGATATATATAGAATACTAATACTATATGTTCAACATTTTTCGGAAACTAAAATTCATATATTATTCGTCCCTTTTTCATATAATAAACTTAACCGTCCAAAGTTCATATAAATCGGTTCAGTAGTTTTTTACATATGCGTAAATCGGTAAATATTATGGTATATCGTTTATTTTTTCGGTTGATAGTATTTCGATCGTATATTTTTTAATGATATTAGACCTGCTTATAAACATGTTTTAATCCATCATTTATCTAGAATGTACGGCAGGACGACGAAGAAAGCCCTGCTTCCGAGGGTGAGGCACCGGGTAGCGGGGGCTCTGGGGGTTCCGCAGGGTGTGCTGGCTCCCCGGGGGGCTCCGGCAGACTCGTCATCGACGAAGCCGCGGAGGAGACGCCCCTCTGTCAGGGCTGTCGTGCAAGAGACGCCCAGTTCGTCTGCGCGGGATGTGCCAATCAGTGGTATTGCAGCCGAGAGTGTCAGGTTATTATTTATTTTTTTAATTACGTTGGTGATTTCAGGCGCATTTAATGGATAAACTTAGGTAGAAGTTTAAAAAAAAACAACGTTTATTTCTAACTACCAGTGCTTACAGTGTTGAAATTTGAAATTACTTTTAAAAAAAAATCATAATTCTTTATTTGTTTAGCTATATACAATAATGCCTCGCTCTTCTTTAAACTAATAAAGTTTCAACAAAAATAACCAACACAATTGGTTTTAAAAATGAGGGTATTGTAAAAAAAGAATAGAAATATATGATGACTGTGTGATGATGATATGAATGAAGACAAAACAAATCTAAGTGAAAGTGTGCATGAAAGAGATAGATTAAGAAAAAATTGATAATGTTGGATTTAACAATGATTCTGTTTTGTTATAGTTCAGTGTACCGAGCCAATGGTTTAAAGTTTTTTTACATTTGTGATATTATGTAAGATTATACAAGCTAAGGGTTTTATTTAAACTATTGTAGAGGTAGGCTGAGCGATTATTGTAGATTTATCTGTAGATCTCAATAGTAAACTTAAAACATTAGTCTTATATAAACTAATATAATATTATTTTTTTAGGTGGCTGCGTGGGATGAGCACTCAGAAATGTGTTCAGGCTGAAAGATGGTTAAGTAGTGTTAGGTTATCGCATATATTGTAGATTTTGCCTTACGTATTTACTGAAATGATTCAACTATGGCGGATTAATCGTGTCCATAGATATAAAAAACCGCAAAATATACAATAACCGGTTTTCAAAGTGAAACTCACAGTGACACCGGTTTTTATAATCAGGAGAAAATATTATTTTAGAACAGTGAAACAGATATGACATCTGAAATAACAAATAAAAAAAGTATAATAAACTTTAATTCGTATCTTAAATCTAGTTAACACTGTCAAATATGTCAAACTTTATATTGTCTAAATAGTTTGACAGTTTAGCACTGTAATCTATATGTATAGATTATTATCTATGGGAGGTTTTACAAGTACGATGACGTTTTCACCTGTCACTGCTGTCACTGTCAAGTAAACACTAATTACTTAATAAAAAAATAGCTCTCAAATGGAGCATAAAGATCACAATTAATCTGCTTTAGTCAATAAGTACTACGAATAATCGGTAATAGGTGAATCTCTTGTTCCTTGTGTGTTTGATAGACTATGCGAAAAATATCATTTTGACAAAAACAATAATTTTGATTATGAAAAGACAATAAAACAGTATTTCTTTGTTTACAGTATTTTTCAAACATTAAACTTATCTATGGTATTGACTTGTATAAATCCAGTTACAGACTAAATTTTAAATAAATCATGTTTTTTTCAAGTGTTTGACAATAAAATTAGTTTCATACTTGCACGTATATTTTGATTTTCGAATTGGATTTCTATAATCTCCAAGAAATTAAAATAGCTCGTGGCATTTTCAGTCTTAATACAGAAATAATTAAATCGGACATAAATTTCAACATTCTAGTCTTGTCACAAAAATTATTAAAATATTTTATTATTACTGTATTATTTCTAGAAAAAAACTATTCAGAATACCAGTTACGATTTCTTTTGGCACGATTTAAACGAACTTCTTAAGAGAAAATGTTCATTTTTGTATTTATGTCATAGAACTGCCAAAAGATCCTTGTATGGAAAGATTTGGAAATCTTGTTCGAAGACCTCATACGAGATTTATAGATTTTTTTAATGAATAATTTTTTACACACTTCAGTATTGATAAATCTCCCATTACATATGTAATATATATGCTTTGTCATAATAATAGCTTAGTTAGCCCCTAAGGTCATTCCTTGAATATTTTAGCATAGTAAATTATTTATGTATCAAATGTATCGTGGATTTAATTAATTGGTTATATTATATAAAGCAAATAATTGTAATCGATTACAAAAAATCATTTTATCTGCGTTTTAAACTGTAAGGTTTAATTTTGCAGTGACGAACATTAGAACAAACCACTTGTTATTCGTAAGTTGAGTATAGGTGCCCATTAAGGTACTAGTAAATCAAATAAGTCATGTCAATAATGACTATATAATTTTTTTTATGACAAATCATAAAATTATCTATGATTTACCTTCCGGGTGCGTTTGTAAACTATCCGACGCCCACATATCGCCTCAAAAAGGATTGGAAATAATTATTTATTTTTACAAGCAATGTTAATTGTCAAAACTTATATTATAGTTTCGAAGTTCAAAAAACTACTAAATAAATACTGAGTAAGTTTTAATTAAGTTTATTAGTTCTGAAAAAGTGATTAATTTACCACAAATTAGTGACCAGTCGTTCCTAACATGTAGATGCTCAAAATGGCGCGATGGCGCCAAACTGACATTAGAAATTATTACAGATGTCATCGTCAAAGTTTTAAATTTGGAACATTTACTTTATTGGCCATTATCGACGGCGTGGTGTACGAACGCACTCTTTGTATTGTATCAATAATTTTGTATATTTATTTCAAATACATCGACGCCTTAAGTTCTATAGCCCTAGTTAGTGTATAAGATGTAATTTATAATTGAGAGTATGTGAAACTTGGAACTCAAATTTTCGTGTAATTAGAATGTAAGTATAAGATGTCCGTAAATGTTGTTTTATTCAGTGTGACTTGGTGTGTCACTAGATGGCGCTATGCTTAAAATAAATTGTTACTTTTCGATGTGAATAATACACGGTATATTTAATTTTCATACAACTTCACCAAATAGTTTGTGCCTTTTATCAACGTAAGCAATATTATTTAAGATATCTAAACATTTCTTCGGCCTAACAAGTTGTTTTTTGCATAAAGAAAAACTTTAATCTTAAAAGATTTTTGGTTGCTATTCAGCTTTCGCCTGTTAACTTGTGGTTTAATATCTACGATTGCTGGCAAATGCTCAAATTCGAACAAATTTAATAGATATTTTTCAAGTTTAAAACTCGGACATTTCATCGTTATTTCAATTTTTTAAAGTTGTATGTGATATATCGCTATCGTCTCGGGTTCTTTATAGATCTATCAGTACACCCACGGCACAGTTTCTATTAAAATCGAATAGTTGTAAAACTGGTTAAATTTGCATATTTTTTTATTACGTATTTGCTAAATACTAAATGTTTCCGCGGAGTTTTCACTCGGATCGTTGGGCAATTCCACTTTGAAATTACTTTGTATTCAATAAAACTTATGTCAAAATTAGATTACTAAAAATCAATTGAATAGAAGAATATCTTATTTATGTAGAGTATTTGCTAAGCATAAGAGAGAGAGTCACAAAATAAATTACATACATAATCATGATTTTACGATTTTTCAATTAAATCGGTTTGTAAATGTGCTAATTTTTTTATATTGTAAATAAAACTTTGGCGCTCGTGTTAGTTTCGTTCCGACCGTGCCAAAACTACTAAACAGATGTGCATACAGTTCGCAAAGGTTATATTTTTATATCGCTATAGATGCTTTTTGTGTAAGCTTAATGTAAGGTTTGAAGGTGTAAGGTGAAAAGTCGAAAGGTTACATCATGCATTTTAGAACATAAAATACAACAAATCATTGAAATTGTCCCTTAAAATCAATTGGGTAATTCTCAAGTCGTTACCTTAAGATTGACTGTCGTAACACAGCGATATGTAATATTATATCAAAAACATACGGGAGTCTCCTAAGTTTTAACTCAGAAAGTTGCCTTAACGTAAAATAGAACAAAAATGTCAGTCAGGACTTTATAAAAAGATCGTCTTTGTGGTTGAACTAGAGGTCACCTTATAAATAAGATATGTAATAAATTTAATGGGCCACGAGCTCGAGTTCTCTGCGTCCAACGTATACATACGTATTCATAACGCACGCTTTATTAATGAGTGTTGAATAATAAAGAGACACCCTGCGTCCCAATGGTAAAAAAAATTGGCAAAGTTAGTAAAATATTTCTTGTTTTAAAATGTTGTTTTTTATTTGACTTACGACTTTTCACCTCTAAGGCTTAAATATATAGCTTTGAGTTAATCAACGACTTGAGCTTATGCTAAGCATTATCTGTCAAATATTAATATCCGAAACTCCGCTCAACACTTTATATTTAAGCCTCATTCCCAAAACAGATGAACTATGAAGATCTATAAATATATTTTCTATTTGAAATAGAGTTCTGTGAAATAACTATTTTCTCTCAAAGGTTTTGTGAATTTTCGTGGTACTTTTTATTTTTATACATAACCAGTGTACACAATGTTAGAAATGTTAATATATAGGTTAAAAGCTATTGTATTTGTGTTCGCTTCGAATGTATAACTTGACTTTGAATTTAACGTTCAAATATTATAAAGACACCGCCTTTTGACGTGACAACGTCTAATACATCGATGAACGCCGGCAGCACGCACGAAAATGCATGACTCGCTGTCCCGTTACGCTCATTGTACGTTTGCGCCGCATCTATCTCTCTTCCACTCGTAGATTTAAGTATGCAGTAATTTCATCAATGTTTTGTTATGACATTGTCATGTTAATTGTATCGTCCGTAAACGACTTTATAGACAACCATTTTTTTAAATTGATTGACACGAAAAGTCGCAAAAAATTATAGTGGATTGAAAACCTATCTGCAGGGTCTCTAAAACACTTAATAGCTACTACAGCTAAGTGCCGAGACCATTACGAGGTAATCTATTTCAATATAAGTATCGCTGTTTCATTTCGCTTGCCCGTAGTACGAATAGTCTATTTTGAGATCGGAACGTAACAAGTGACAGTACTACGAATTATCGATGATTGGTCCCACATTGGAAAAATATTTGCATTTTACAGAAGATTCTTATTTACTACAGAAACATGGCTTTTATTTCTATAGTTATAAGTAACTAGTCTTGTGTTTTGTCGCATGTGAACTAAAAGATTGCATGCTGGACTATAACTCCCAGTAGCGATTCGATGCCTTTTAATGAATAATGAGATTACAGCGAATTTGCATACAAAAATATCGTGGGATTGGAAGGAAACACTTGTGGGCCTTGAGCGCTTTGCTAATTCGCCGTAATATTTCGTTCAGCAATAAATTGAATTTTATTAAATTGCATATTATAGAAAATAGGCGTGTCTTGTTTTAAAATCGCTAGTCAAGTGTTTCGTTACCTACATAACTGTTTATGTATTTTGTAACTTATATTTTAATAAGATATTAAATCAGTACTGTCTTTCAAAGGTTTTATTATTTCACGCAATTCCTTAATTGACATTGACAAGGCCTCATTTAAAGTTGAGATGGTGGTGATGGTGAGTTTTTTTATAGAAATACAAAATTATCAGTGAATTTTTTCTATTTAAAATTACAAACATACTTTGAGCTACTTACTAATAGACCAGTGCCGATAATTTTTGAAACCTAAAAAAATAATAGTAGGATGAAACCTATTGGAAAAGGAGGAGAATAATTTAAAAATTAAAGGAAAAATAATGTACGGGCGATCTGAGGTCGGGAAGGGGTTAGGGGGGTTGGGGAGTTTTAAGAGTAAAAAACGGTTTAAGTATCTCGATTTCCGGCAAAACTAAAAGTCCTATCGAAGAAAGTTAAAGTTAAATGGCAAAGTTGTAGGTAATAAAAAGATCTAAAACTTTGGTATTCACACATTTTTATTATCACGATAGGACTTTTAGTTTTGCCGGAAATCGAGATAAACCGTTTTTTACCCTTAAAATCATCTCTTAACTAGACTTATGTCACTTTTTGCAAGTTGTCTATGTATATCAATTTTACCTACTATGATTTATAACTAGGAATCTATATATAAAATTTATATTAGAGGTTGGGGTAAAACGTACAAGATTACATTTTTTGTTGTTCGTTTACTAATACCAGCGTACATACTAATTTAGCTAAGTCCTACAGGACTTTAGGTATTGTAGGAATTAAAATCATCCATGATTGAGTCAGTGTCCAATTTTGAAGTGAAACTTCTTTAGGCGCATGAGGGTAAATTTTACGGAAACGTCACGAAGATGTGCAGCTTTTTTACCGATGAGAAGGGAGAGAGCGATTGAGACCGACTGAGAGAGAGTGAGAAGGGCGAATTACCTTATAGAAATTCTTTTTTTTTAATTTCGTGAAGAGAATTTATGAAATATTGGTATTTTTTATTTTATGCAAAATAATTGATTGAAATCTCAAATGACGAATTGTAAATTAAAATGCCACGTGTTTTTATTATCGAAGAAAAAAAAATTTATAATTTGTATTAATTTTCGACACATATTTTAATGACCATTAAATTAATAAATTCCTAACATATCTTCCTTTTTTCCTTCCTCTTAGTCTCGGAAATTGAATTTTTATATTTGTATTAATATGAACAAGACTTAAAAATTAGTTTGCCAAAGAAGTTTCACTTCTGACATGTGTACTTTGTACGCACGCACTTTTTTTCATAGAACAGGGAAAATGGATAGGAGGCTCGGCTCACCTGATGTTATGTGGCACTCAATGCTTCGCGAGTGTTAGATGTCTTTTAAAAATTGCTACACTCTTTTCTTCAAGGGGCTTAAGGCGAATTGGTCCAGAAATACATCAGCAGGTAGCTAGTTCCGCATAGTGGTGTTGCGCATAAACCGGCTTAAATAACGCTCAGTTGTCGAATGTCGGAAATTGAGGTGATACGGGTATTTCGTATTCTGCCTCGACGTCCGATGATGAAACTGTGGGTATTTTCCAACTCTTCTCAACACTCTTCAAATGTATGTTGAAGATGCCGAGACACCCCACATCCCAGGAGATCAAGTCTCTCCGATGGTTCGAACTGCTCTTTGTTGAATACGAGATATCAATGAAATCTTAAGTCTTATCCCAAACGTAAATTATAAGGGTTAAAAAAAATCGTTTGAACTTTCTACAAAAGTCTTCGCTGGGGAATCCAGGACAGAAATAAAACACTTGAATAAAAATAACTTTCTTTAGTCATAAACATTGTAAATATACAAAACTTCACATAATTAACATTTAGTACAAACAACGAATTAAAGCAATAATCTCTTAAATATAAACAACATTTACAACGTACAAGGATCTTTTAGCATTACATGGCTTAGATGTGCTGACAACAATCTTTCACGTTAAAATACCGACTACATTCAAAAAATTATTAATTTAAAATTAAAGGGCCAAAAGAAACTTGTGGCGATTTAACAGTTAGATTAGTTGTATAAAATTTATTCGGTAAGAAACTAGTTTATCTCCTATTGGCAAGTTTTATAAAAATATAAGACTTTATTAAATTATCTCATTACAAACAAAAACTGTGCGTTTCGGTATATAATCCTATGTTGTTTTTCCAATTTCTAACGTTCATCTGGAACATATTGAAGAAACCATTTCTTGGTTGCATGTGCTCGCTGTCTCAGGTATTAATTAACTTGAACCCAGTTTTTGATGAATTCTTAAAAAAATGTTGAATGAAAAAGTAATTCATTCGATATTATTGCTATTATTTATCGAATCGAACTCTGTACAAGAAACTAAAATACTAAAAATTTTACAGATTTTATTTTTGGTCTAGTATTGATGGGTAAGATTATCCCCAAAATCCAGTCCACGAGTATTATAATACAGTAGAATTGTACGTCTTGACTAGGTGCGTCTACGGATAAAATTGCGCAGACTAGATAAAAATGTCATTATTATAAATTTTTAAAAGATAATATTAAACCTACGTTAACCAATACATGTATTACACTTAGATATAGACAACCCAATTACAAAAGGCCAAATTCATATAATATAGCTGTCTCTTTCGCTTACAAGCTTTAAACAAAGACAATATGATGCTTTACATATTAAAACAGCAAAATTTACAAAATATTAATTTTGATTAACTGTGACTATTAAACTCAGAGCATAACGTTAATTAACTTTGGTATTTTTTCGGTTTATGGACCCTAAGACTTAGAAAAATATGGCTTTTAGAAATTCTGAAGGTTAGTTGGCAAATTTTGTCATTGTAAAAAATGTTACCAAAAACTCTATGTAGGATCTTGAGCGTTGAACGAACGCGTTATGGAAGATAAGAATAAAAATAAAACGAAATTGACGCGTTTCGCTTAATAGTGATTTGTCAACCAACTTAATATAAGTTTAGATCTCGAATTAGGGCGATTCTGCGTCCATGATGGAATTCATTTGGCAACTCACTTCACTCTTTGACCAGAAACGCATGATCGACCAATCACTACGCTTGGGGAAGTCTCTGTCTTTATTAAGATATACAAGCTATACTTGGTATATCTGTGTAATATTATTCAGAAGCAGTTTAGTAGCTATGGTAGAACTTCCCCAAAAGTATCTCAACCGAAATGACCTCCAACTGCAAATTCTCAAACTTGAAAAACGGTCTCGAAAAATTAACATATCGATTTGAACATGACCTTCGAACCCGAGCTGTAACATGTAATATTTTATGATCTTAGTACATTCTGTAACAAAATATTTCTTATGACCAAGTTGACTTGATTTCTAGTCCAATCACAGATACGCGTAACGTTACAATTGACCAATCACGCTCAAGCAAAACGCGTTCGTTCGAAACGTATTACATTCCAAACCCTTTTAAACTATTCGATATAATTCGTTGTATACGTTTAAACGATCAAAATCTGTGGTTTTTTTAACCGTTGTAACACGTGGTCTACAGTATAACCTTAAATAGCACCATTAACATACATATAAAAATATTACATTGAGCAAGTCATACCAGACACACTTTAGAGAAAATAATTACCAAGAGAATCTTCGCTGTTTAAATGACTCTTATTATCTCTCTCTTCTTCTTCTCATTACATATATAATTGTACGGCCAGCACTTATTTTCTCTAAAAATTCCACCTTATAACACAATCCATAATTCCAACATACATTTGTGTCTAATCATAGTTCTAACACTGAGATCTTAAATCTTTAAAAAAAAAAAAAATTGTGCGTGTACTAGCTACACGTAAGAAGTGAAACTTCTTTATGATCTTATTTTTCGAAAAATGATCTACTATATGCAACTTTACAGAAATTCGTTAAATTAGATAAAGTTTAACAAAAGGCTTTTATTATTATAGACATGAATACAAATATTTCATTTTACCTTATTACTACGAAGATTATTATAGAATTTCATTAATTGTATAAATACTACAGAAAAACGTAACGATTTGCACAAAATTTCTCCCATCAGTATCACCCGATACAAAGTTTGACTCTAAAAAGATCTACTTGATGAAAAATGTAACAAAAATTACACAAATTTTTTCCAACCTCGAAAATACTTCAAAAATTTTTTAATTAAAAAAAATTTTTTTAAAAAAAGAAATCCAAAAGTTTTTAAATAAAAATAATTTATAAATGCTGATTCTTATTAAAAAAAAATTTTAAATAAATCAAAATAAAATTTATCAAATTCAGTAAATGAATGGTCCGACTATGAACACCTAAATATCCACCAAACTAGCTTAACATTAGATCATTCAAAAGTATGTCGTAAATATATAAAAACTTGTTTTAGTATCAAACAATTATACAAATGTTTCTCTATACAAAGCCCTAAGGGGCTGTTCAAGTATTACGTAAGCAATACCGGGGGAGTAGGGGGTTCTTTGATTTTCTTATTTGGTGATTACGTCATCACTAATTATTTACTTTTTTACACATTAGCCACACAGTGTCTATGGTTGAAAACGAAATGCATTTTCCAGGATTCCTACAAATTAATACGTTTATGTACTATTATTTTTGAGAGCTTTACTTACTTTTGGTGAGAAGAGGAGGAGGGGGGGATAAATTACAGTAAATCTGCTTACGTAATAATTGAACGGACCCTAACGACACGCTGGAAACTTAGTCAAGATGCCTTAATGCCGTATGTAGAAAGTCGAAAATTTGTCGACACGAACTATCATTTTCAATCAACTTAGTTTTCGACTTTCTACTTTTTTTTCTGTTAAGGCTTGACTAGGCCCCTACGCACTTTTAAAATGTCAATGCAAACGTTGACAATCACTTTATACATAGACGCTAAATAAAAGGTTGGAAACTGCCAAAATTCCCATTAAAAAAAAAAAACAGTGGCACTACAAAATTTTTTAGGTGTGACCTCAGATTTCTGTATCTGTATCAGTTTCATGATCATTTGTCAATCTAATTGGCAAGTAGGTGATAAGCCTCGTGTAACTGACACACTCTCTCGACTTTTTGGGTCTGGTTTCCTCACACATTTTTCCATCACCGTTCGAGAGAATGTTAAATAGAAAGAAAGTCCATTGGTGCACAGCCGGGTAACGAACCACTAAGAACCACTAACAAACGGGCCAACACTGCTCTCAAAAGACATATTTAATTAATCAAATGTTATATTTTAAATATCCCACACGTTAACGAACTTCAATCACTTATTACTGTCAATTATGACATGAGCGAGATGTCAAAAATTTGACCATGAATCTATGATCTGTACAGATAATAAACTGTACAGTTGTCAAATGTCAAGTCTTGAACCACAACGCTATCTTTTTGTTCACACATTCTGTCTCAGAAAGTCGGGTTTACTTGACGATAAACACAACATCGCTGTCCTTCTCCATCTGCTCCTCTAAGAGCGAGACAGACATACCTGTCTGACAGCACAGCTCGTCCATACATATGAGGCCGTTGTACGTCCGAATGCACGCGCTATGACAACTTCGTACGGATGACGTTTCATTGTGAACTGTCACTGGGAACTGTAAAAAATATTATAATAAAACAATATGCTATACATATGTACGATATATTTGCTGGTTATTGGAACTTAAGAATTTTATATCAATAGATATAGTTTGATTAATAATAAACTCAACTGCGTTTAATAATTGTAGTTAACACCTCACAATAATAATTGTTGGATCAAAGGCTTCTTTCACAGACAGAAAAAGGTCTACCTAAGACGTATACATGATTATGAAGAATCGTACAAGTCGTCGGAAATATCTGCGAACCTGGCTTAATGACGTCATACAAACTGGAGAGATAGCAAAAAATTGAAGATGTAAAAATAAAAAATATTTTATTTTTACTTATTTTATTAAATCTACCCCCCCCCCCTTAAAAAAAAACAAAAAAAGGGGTTTTTTTGTAATTTTTCCCCAAACAGAAAACAATAAACACTAAAATGCGATACGAAAGCAAGAATAATACACGTGGGGCGTCGGCGGTTGCGTTGGCAACGGTACTGGATGAGGCGAAAACGGGGCGGGGTGCGGGGGCGCCAGGGGAAGCGCATTCCAGCGAGGTTCGCAGATATTTCCGACGGCTTGTAAAATAGCCCAATGCGATATTTTTTGTAGAACAAACAGTCAGGGCAGCGGGCTCGCGGCTCATCTGATGTTAAGTGATAATCCGCCCATGGACATTCAACGCCAGAGAGCTCGCGTATGCGTTGTCGGCCTTTTAAGATTTGTTACGTTTTTAAGGATCTTAAGTCAAATTGGTTCGGAAATACTTTAGTGGGCAGCTGGTGGCATGGTGGTGGTGCGCGGCAAAAACTGACTTAAATAACCCTCAGTTGTGGAACGAAACACAATACATCCAAAGCCTTATATGACGTGTCTGTTTATGTTAACTCCTGAACGAATGGATCGATTCTGATGTGGTTTGAGAGAGATCTGGCAAAAATTACGAGCACTATTTTTTATTCAAAGATCATGAGAGGATGAATTTAATAAAGATATCAACTGACCTTGTATACCCTTCTAATCAGCCCTTCCAGTACTCCAAAAAGCACCAACTTCCTCTCATTAATAGCTAGATCTTGTGGTTTCATTCGCCTACAAAGATCGCGTATCGTACTTCCGTATGTCATACCAGCGTACATACGAAATAAATCGCTGACTTTTGGTAAATGTCGAGCTGAAATTACAAAAAATTCTCAAGCGCTACACTTTGAAAGTACAGTTGATTGTTAATAGATGGCGTGAGTTTAAAATTGAACCTCAGATAATATTACAGGCGGGTAAAGCGATCGCTATATTAAACTGTATGTTTGATTAACTTTATAAAACGCTTGGTCACGTAACCGTGTACACAAAATTTCGACTGGTGACTGAATTAAAAATAAATGATTTGATTATATGTACTTGTGAGCCTCTGCCACTCGGCAATGCCGAGGATTTGTGTTAGATATAATATCGTTAGAATACGACATAATATAGTAAATACTTTACTATAAAATTATTTCTTTCTTTCGTAATCCTACAGCTAACATATGTACTTAATTAAAAAAATCAATTATACTTAAGATATAGCCAAATATGTATATACATGTAGTTACGAAAAAGGTTCAAACATTTACAAAAGGAAAAATCAATAAAAAACTCGCTGAAATTGTTTCATTTTATTTGGAAAATTATTTAGGGCCTCGTTTGTTGCCTCGAGGCCTCCAGACCTCTAAATCCAGCCCATATTCATATTTTGCTACTATGCTACTATTGTACTATGGTTTTTAAGTATAATTAACTCAAACAACACTTGTCCAGAGCTTGATATATTCTATAGTGTGCTGATAAATTTAAAAAAGGGTGCGTGTACTTATGTACGCGCGTAAGAAGTTATACTTCTTTGGCTTTCTTTATTTTTTTTAAATATTAAATAATTAATAACAAATATTTAACGTTAATAATTTAATAATATTTAGTATATTATTCAATTATTAATTAATAATAATAATTATTATTATTTATTATTTTATTATATTATTCATTCAATTTAATAACTACGTATGTTTCATACCCTTTTAACTAAGTAACAATAGGTCTTTGTGAATAAGCATTGCTAAATTTCTTTGAAAAAATAAATAAACTCCTTTATTTGTTTAAAAGGTCATTATGTTCATTCAAAATTCTTGGCATAGCTGCTAACTTTACGCATGTTCTATTTCTTTGTACTTGTAGATTGTCTTATTCCCATCTCGCTCGCGCACGCTATAATCACACTGACAACTTTGTGTCTCAGGTGCGCGCGCATCGTAAAATTTCACTCTCATCAATTTTTCATAACGCGCCTAAAGAAGTATAACTTCAAAAATATTCAATACTATTAACTAAGTGATACCTTATTTGGCTGTGTGGTGTGATTTTGTAAAAGTGGGGTAAGTACGTGAAAGTGTGTATGTGGGGTATGCTTATGACATATTCTTGATACTCTTTTTAGGCATATTCCGCGATAGCTTAAACCAGTCAAGGCTTAAATATTGGTAGTTGTATTATTTAAAAAAATCTTACGTGATCTTGCGCAGAATTCAACACACTGCCTCTGTAGACCCGGACATCGCGTCAACTGTCTTAATTTTGGAGTTGCGCTGTAAACCTGTAAGAATTTCAATTAGAACCTTCAATTTCATATTAGCGTCGTTGAAAAATAGATTTTAATACGCAATATTTAAGTTTATATTTGGTAAGAAGGTTTTAGACACGATACACGAAGATAAATATTACTTGAAAACTTTAGAGATACAAAATTTCTACATCTATTGGACGGGAGATGTTTTGAGCAGCTAGTATAGCCAGTTTCTTGACTTTTAATTTAAAAATTTAGTTAAGTCTAACATCAACAAAAGTAAAAAAGGCCGGCAACGCACTTGCAAGCCTTCTGGCAATGCGTCCATGGGCGCATGTCCCATACGCCTCCTGTTACATAAAACAAATGAAAAAAAAAACTTGTTTTTTTAGGACGCCTCCTGGAATTTGGAATTAAGCGGAATCAGGATTTTTATATAACAGGGGCAAACAGGCAATAAACTCACCTGATATTAAGTGCCCATGGACACTCACAGTAACATTCACCTCTAACGAAAATCAAAAACATGTGTGTTGGTTACGATGATATTTCCAAATATAATTGTAACAAAAACTATGTTTAAACCACATCTTATAATAATAATTTTTATGTTCTACTTACAGCACAGTATTGAAAGATGGGCACCAGTGTTACTACGCCATAGTACACTAGATTCTGGACACAGGCACGTACCAAGCTTATTTCTACGTCTGTTAACGACGCGATCTTTGCCACGTGGTTGAAGCCGTCTATGTGTGGTAGTATCTGTAACATTAAATTTATTTATTTATTTTCATTAAATTTATTTGCTTGGCACACTGATACATTGAAAAGTAAAATACAAGGTTTAATGTGATATGCACTTATAGACAAACATAATGAACAAGAAAAGATAAAAAAAATGGTGTGTCTGTAAAGACGGTTTACGGACGATAGTTTAACGTGACAATGTCATAACAAAACATTGATGAAATGATTGCATACTTAATGAATAAAATTGAATCATTTTTTTTAACTATCAATATTTTGTATGAATACAAAGAAGAGAAGAGTGAATCCTCCGACGCATAGGCCAATCGAGTGGAAGAGAGAGATGTGGCGCAAACGTACAATGAGCGTAACGGGACAATGAGTCGTGCTTTTCGTGCGTGCAGCCGGCGTTCATCGATTTATTAGACGTTGTCACGTCAAAAATTAAATTATAAAAACAAAAGGAAAATTGATCTAAGTTAAGATGTTTATTGTTCTTTTTCATTATCTCTGATATTATTCCTGTTGGGGACTGTACTGGCGCCCCGTCAAGTAATTATTTCAATTTAATAATTGTTTGGAATATCGGTATAGGGAGAAACAATTTCGATTTTAGTATAGTAATTACGTACAATCGTTTAAAAATAAATTGAACATACAGTCCACTCTTAATAATTTGCTATCCCTCATTAATTTGAATTTAAGAAAAATACTCGATAAATTGAATAAAATTAACTTTAATTGGTTCTCTCGGTAATTTGAAGGAATAGTATCTCGCCAACATGCGATAATTTGAAGTCCAGGCTTACCCGTACAATCATTAATTTGAAGTGTTTATGTACAAACCTGTCAAATGTCTTTTAAAATTCTTTGAACAATGATAAACTGAAGTCGCTCACTCAAAAAGATTACGGGCTTCTTTTCTTAATAATACTTTGTGTATTTAATTGTTAATACATAATAAAGCACGAATTTTGAGCAAACTCTTACTTACTTGGCACTCTTATTTAGGACACTTCCCCCTCGTATTTAAACGCTTTCGAGTTTCAAATTATCTATATTGGAAAAGACTAGCTTAATCGAACCTTTGATATATACCAAATGTGTGGTGGTATTTTCTCTCAAATATCAATAATATATATAGAGAGGTAATTCTTTGCTAGCAAATTCCAGGATAATGTAAATTTTCTAAGTTTTTTTACGCTTTCATGTTCAATTAACTCAGTTTGAAATTTATTAATCACGGAAGTATCTTCGGCGATGCGTTGATTGTTTTCTTGTACTCAGAGTGCATAATTATTCGCTTAGCAACTAGTACACTGTGTGTTACTAGTTATAACGGTTTACTGTCTAGATAAAGATGCTCCCAATAAGAGAATAAATTAGTATTGTGTGCATAAAATAATAATTTATTGGCAACAAAATTAGTTACATCTTGAATACGTATCCTTGTGGCTACGCCATGGCTATCAAACTATTTAATCAGTTATAGATCACTGCCGTATATTACTTTCAAGGGGAAGGTGATTAATTTTTTAAAGGCAAGGTGCCTTAAGAGGGGGCGAGTATTTAGGCCATAAGTTTGACAACAAATATAAATAACTTAACGTATTATTATGACATTATATTAATGTTTTATTATATGACATTATGAAAATTATTATTTTGTTTTTTATGTTGTATTCTGCCTTGACGTCCGATGATGAATTGAAATGAATGAAACTCAGCTGCAGCTATAAGTCCGAACAACTCCTCTGAACACTCTCCATGGTAAATGCGGTAGAAGATGCAGAAAGATCCCACTTCAACGCCAAGGGATCAAGCCGTTACCACTTTCTTTGCAAATAAACGATTTCTTATAGTCCTTCACATCACCAGCCTCCTTAAGAAAGCTTTAGAAATTCAGACGTTGAGAGCAGAGGTGATAAGCATTCTTTGAAAGATAATGTTAAACAAAAAACAAAACTAAGCGATTAGCGTGTTCAACCATACAAAAAGTGGCTCATGTGCGATGCCGACCTTTTAAAATCGGTTCATTAATACTGTTTTTACCTTGAAGCCGTTATAAAATCGCAATTGTTACGTTAAGTGGAGCCAGCGCAGAAGAAACAAGCTGTCGTGGGAGTTAACGTTCCCAACACCTTGTTTGACATTAACAATTCCAATGTCATTTGTATGTAAATGTGATACACGAAATGTTTTTAAGATAAATTTATATTCAAATTTACATTCGTTTATTAAAGTGTTAGATTTTAAGAAATCTATTTGAATTTAGGTCGTTTAAAGTCTAATTTATACAAAAATGCGCAATTAATTTAACAAAAACTGGCCCCTCAAGCTGCTGCTTTATTCATTGCTGAGTTTTCCTCGTAAAGGAATAATGACTAGCCTACCGTTACGAATTAGGGCTTCTAAAGGCAACGCACTGGCAAACAGGTGTTGTGTGTGTCCATGGGCGGCGCTAAACACTAAACTTTACCCGCCTGCTTGTTTGCCTGCTGTCATAAAAAACATTTTGTAAGTTTCTTTAATCTCTAAATCCCGAACATCAAATCCCTGGATATCAATGACACATTGTATATAATTCCACGTCTATTAGCTAAAAAAACTGTTAGGCCATCAATCATCTAGACTAGCTTAAAAAATCAACAGAACAAATGCTCGATCGAGGGGTTTACGAAACTTTATACAAAATAATTGAAGATATTTTTACTCAATACAACTGATTTTTGAGGAAATCATATCATTACACATACTCCGATTTTTAATTCCGTAGAATTCTGACATTTCATAAGTGTTGCTATTAAAAAAGTTCTCCACAGAAAACGAGACGAATTTGACCCATTTGAGGGCAATAAAAAATACAATGCTACGTATTTTTATGTTTTACCTACAAAAAGGTAAATCTAAATATTTACTTACTCAAGCGGAAGCGACCAATACCAAAATAACAAATATTTCAATATCACGAACAATATATCGAATTAACTTTAATTACTTTATTTTATTCTTTAGCTGGCATCGCTACCTACTAATTCCAGGTTTAGTAAACCTCTGTAATAAAATAAAATGATATCTTAACTTGTGCGTTTTTTTCGTGTTTGTGATGAAAAGGGACGTAATGATCACTACCGTTAAACAACATTAACTAACAAATAAAATGTATAGACTCAGATGTTGACTCGTATTGAAATTGAAAAATGTGCCCGGCCAAAAAGGTTTGCAATCTTTGACATGTCAAAAAATTATAGCTGTCAGAATTCTACGGAAATAAAAATCGGAGTATAGTTTGTGTTGATAAGATGAAAACTTACGAAACGTCAAAATTCAACATATATTCAATAACTGTAATAATTGTACATAGGTATCTTACACGCACTCAACGGGGACTACTAGCCGTGACCCCTTAAATAAAACACGACCTTAATCTAAGATACTTTGATCCCGCTGAGTCACAATTACTCCTTACGATCAATAGAGACCATTTTGTTAAGAGATCTAAAGAAATGAAAAATAAAGCTTTGGTATAGGAACTTGTATAGCTTCCTATTGGATTTATTGAAGAATTAAATCAATCTAAAACGTTTTTTCATTTTTTATTATTATATTACTGTTTTTGCCACAAAATTATCATTAAATATAGTAACGTCGCTTTATATTTAATAAAACGTTAAAAACTTATAGTTTTCGTTTCAAAGAAGATTAAAACGATGTGAGAGAGAAGAGGACCTACACTTAGGGTGAGATCTATAGTGCGACTTAGGGTGAGATCTATAGTGCGACTTGGACTTTGCTCAGACTTACCTTACGAAAAACTTTGCTTAGTGTACACTAAGGTTAATCTATGATTTCGTATTTATAGACATTTTAACGGTGAGATTAAGCTAAGCCAAGCTAAGACAGAAAATGTCAAAATACAAATTGATGTTTCATTTCATGCAATACTTTGTTTTATTATCCTTTAAAAAAAGTTAACAATAACAAATATTTAAAAATCTAAAACGGACACATATATCTTCAATTTATTGTTATTTATGTATTCATTTATTTTATTATTGCAATAACTAGAAATTCACGAGTAACCTTTAGAAAATGTATTAATTATTTAAAGATGACAATAATTTTATTACGTAGAACGGATCGCAATGTTTTGGTTGAGGTTATAGTTTGAATTTCGTTGTCACTATAATATGCCAATTGCCAGGGCTGCCAGGTGACATACAAAATCACACCAGTTATTTTTAAGATTTCTCAAAAATGGGGTTTGAACAATTACATAAATAATATAAATAAACAACAATAAATACCATAATAATGTGTAATTATTTTTATTTCATGCATTTCATAGGTGTTTATCAAGATCATTTATAATTTCTTTGAATTCAAATTCTATTTTTCCCAAAGTCTATGGAACTCCGATACAAAATGGCAACACCGTTCATTAAAAACCGACAAAAATAAAAAGTCCAGTAAAGGATATGATGGTAAAGACAAATTTTGGGCCATTATTTTTGTTGAAGCTTATAGTCAAAGTTTTTGGTAAGTCGTCGATTTTCGTGGACTTGAGATTAAGTATAAGCCAACACTAGGAGAGATTCGTAGTTTGCTCTATAAACCGACTGTGTCTTAGCTCGATAGTTAAGGTCAGAGCAAAGTCTAAGTGCGCACTATAGATCTCACCCTTAGACTTTGCTCTGACTTAACTATCGAGCCAAGACACAGTCGGTATTTATAGAGCAAACTACGAATCTCTCCCTAGTGTTGGCTTAGCTTAATCTCAAGTCCACGAAATCGACGACTTACCAAAAACTTTGACTATAAGCCTAACAAAAATAATGGCCCAAAATTTGCTTTTACCATCATATCTTTTACTGGACTTTTTATTTTTGTCGGTTTTTAATGAACGGTGTTGCCATTTTTGTATCGGAGTTCCATAGACTTTGGGAAAAATAGAATTTGAATTCAAAGAAATTATAAATGATCTTGATAAATACCTATGAAATGCATGAAATAAAATAATTACACATTATTATGGTATTTATTGTTGTTTATTTATATTATTTATGTAATTGTTCAAACCCCATTTTTGAGAAATCTTAAAAATAACTGGTGTGATTTTGTATGTCACCTGGCAGCCCTGGCAATTGGCATATTATAGTGACAACGAAATTCAAACTATAACCTAACCAAAACATTGCGATCCGTTCTACGTAATAAAATTATTGTCATCTTTAAATAATTAATACATTTTCTAAAGGTTACTCGTGAATTTCTAGTTATTGCAATAATAAAATAAATGAATACATAAATAACAATAAATTGAAGATATATGTGTACCGTTTTAGATTTTTAAATATTTGTTATTGTTAACTTTTTTAAAGGATAATAAACAAAGTATTGCATGAAATGAAACATCAATTTGTATTTTGACATTTTCTGTCTTAGCTTGGGCTTAGCTTAATCTCACCGTTAAAATGTCTATAAATACGAAATCATAGTTTAACCTTAGTGTACACTAAGCAAAGTTTTTCGTAAGGTAAGTCTGAGCAAAGTCCAAGTGCGCACTATAGATCTACACTTAGTTCTCGAGTGTAAAATCAACGAAAAAGCTAGGTTGGATTTCCTAAAGAAAACTCGATGTTCTACTGGCGACTTTCTCTTCTTTCTTCATCAAATACTAAGTTCAGCGTTCACTGCCGAATTTAGTGATAGATATAAGTTAAATTATAGATTGAAACTTGGATCTGAATATTATAAAAATACTCATTAACTAGTAAACTGTTAAAGTAATATTTAAAGCTTGAGAGAAAGATGTATGGCT